AGGTTGAAGCTTGGTTCCCTTTTCCTAGACTACAAACTGAAAACTAAGGAGCTCGAAATAGCCTTTAGGAATAACCCAGACAGCCTCAGTTTCCTTCAACAAGAGCCACCACAGCCTTATAGAGTAGGAACAATGCAAGAACAAGTGATCCGCACTTTCCTCACACACTTTGCACAAGACACACCAATGAGGAGATAAACAAGAAGACGGTTGTCTTCTTTGGAGGATGTCGCACGTGTTGAATTTCCCAAGTCCTAGTTTTATAGTATAATCACATTAATGACAACGTCTGTCGACTGGCCTACATAAGTGGATATACATATATAAATGCACATAAATACCTAATAAAAATCAGCTATCCAATCTGTATCTAGCATGAGGAAATCATCCAATTGTATATTTTCTAGTGAAGCAACAGCTTCTCCAGTAGCGCAACTTGGGGCAAATGAACCACTATCCACTTCATATGCACTTGCCATACCCTTAGAAACCAGTAAATTTGGAGAAGCTGGTTTATCAGACGGAACCTGGGTTGTCATTGTAGACGACACTGGAGTAGACTCTGATACATCAGCTGAAGAAAAATCTGTTGCAATAGTCTGTATATCCTTCTTGGACAAGGAAACTGTCGAGCCCTTAGAGAACACTGGCCTTCTATTCTTTGGAAAATTGAACTCTGCACGTTCACCATGAATGCAATACGCAGCAGCATCATGGGCCCGAGCTGCCTTGTCTGGGGCATCATAAGAGCCCAACCATATCCTGTCTCCCGACTTTGGAAGCCTGATTTCAGAAACCCACTTACCCCAAGCCCTCATTCGAACGCCCTTATAGCGTCCTGGGGTTCTCTCTCGCCGGACCTTTTTGGAAGTAGATGTTGTCCCCAAATCCATGGGTAAGGAGACTCACCAAGAGAAACTCTCAAGATAGCGGAAGAGTAGGATCTGGAAAGAACTACTGTAGGAGATCATTTATGAAGGAAGATAATGGATGTGAATGGGGATGCGAACAGGGTCCAAAATTAAGAGCATGTCTCCAGTGAGCAGGTGGAACTGACATGGTTGTGGCGTGATGTCACAAGTTGCACGTGGCAGCAGAGATACCGTCACGTGGGTGAGCATGGTATAGACATGAAGTTCCCAAATGCATAGAACCGCAGTTGGCAAGACACGAATCAATGCACTTGTTATGTTTAAGCCTCTTTCTAAAGGAGAAGATACATACATAAATGCATACATCTACATACACTGATATATACAAACACATACATACATAAATATATACAAATGTATATAGATTTTCTAGAAATCAACCAAGCATCTCCTGAAGAATACAAAGCTCAATGCCTTACTTAATGAAGCATTGATATATATAGAATTTATCAAAAGTATCGAGTGGGAAAATTCAGTGCAGAATTGGAGATATAAATTCCTCATAATTAGGTTTTAGAGTAAAGGTACATACCCATACAAACAAAATATTCGAGAAATTAAAAGAACTTGCTTTGGCTAAACCTGGTCATGTCGGCCTCTCAGATGCTCTACACAAAAGCTTCACCTGCCAGAAGAAAGTGAAATCACGATTCTACATGCTGGAAAGCTTTCATATTCTCCTCGCATATGCTTGGCTTATGTCATGTTCAGTTACATTTTCTAGCAACTTTAGCAGTCAACGATAAGAGAACTAAACCAGAAAAAAATGCAAAACAAGACAAATAGATAAAGTGCAAAGACTAGTAGAGATAGCATTTGAACCAATAGCTTTGAGAAGCAATGATTTTTTATAACTTAAAAATTGCATCTAGCTCTAGCTCTGAGAAGAAATGCACACACAGTATTAATGCACCAAACTTATTATATCTTTCAGGAGGTTTGCAAAAGAATTGCATCCTTAACTAATTTTAGATTTACAGCCAAAACATCAATTTGTTGCCTAAATTAATAATGAGTTGGAATCTGCTTATAACAAAAAAATCAGGATTTGGAAAACGGGCATCACAATTGTTAGATTTTATGGCTAAATTAATGAATCTGATACGATTACATTAGGACTAACTAAGCTATGAAATATATAAGGAAGAAAATAAAGAAAAAGGAGGAGCTAATGTCACTTATTGTGGAATAAT